GTATCCCAGAGTCACATTAGGTAACAGCTGGGAGTTTCTGTTGATCTCATCAATAGCAAAGGCCATGGTTTGAGCCTGCCTGAATCCTAGGACATCAAAACTGACACAAAAATTTCCACTGTTTATTATTGAAAATACAACATGATCGAGTAACTGTGTAAACATGAATATGTTGCACAGCTGCAGGTTTTGCGAACAATTACAATTTAGTAGTAACATTATTGTCAATAAAAAAAGACATCTGTGCAATAAATGGCATAAACACACATTGTAATTGTTGTAAACATTCTACACATGGGACAAACTTTCCCCAGTTTCTGCTTTAGTTGTTTCCTGATAGACTTACCCGTGGCAGGTAGGCTGTTGTGGCTCTGAGGTAAAAGACATGTCCGGAAAGACAGAAAAGAAGTGGATCCCAAATAACCCACCTAGAAAAACATCTCCAGCCTTGTGCATCCCATTTAGATGAAACTGGCCCTGTATCCGGCAGGAAGAGGAAGAAAGGAGGGAGGACACAGCAGAAGAAAAGTAGGAACACAACAACATGAAATACATCAGCGAGAGCAAATTGATATCTAAAAATGCCCACATGACTATTGTCATGTTTTCGACCTTTCTGAGCCCAATCATCAAGTGTTACTGGTATCTTAACCCCTTATATTGCTGTGTTGTTTAATCTTGCACACCACCCATCAGGGCATAAGCAAAATTAGGGGCAGGGCCTAAAATGCAATTCATTTGAGAATTGTTTTGTACTGAGGCAGAATTTATTTGTGCACTTTTAATAATATCTCACCCAGCTTGTGTTAGCAATTTATGCAACATAAAGTAAAAGTTGTGGACATAGTTGAAACACGAGGAAAGGAGTTGCCCTTGATTTTAACCTTCCTTGGATAACTATGCCCGCGACCCTGTACGCAGGATAAGCGGTTGACGATGGATGGATGGATAACTATGATAACTTCCACCTGGATGACTAAGAACCTTAACAGACAATTCCTGTAAAACACATACTTGCCTTGTTGTAAAATAAGTTTTCTTCTGAATTGCTCTGCAGTATAAAACCTGAGCAGATACCTACAGTATCAGAAGAGTCACTTTGTACTGAGTATTATCCCAACTGCACAAATTAGCCATGAGCATGTGATATTCATTATCAATTGTTAACAGAGTTTAATAAAATGTCCACTAGATGGCAGCAGCATACTAAGACAACAGTTCATCTTCCCTTGTATTTTTCATTGCACCGCCTGTCTTAGATTGTAGTGATAGGAATTGTGGCTGTTAGAAGGGAGCCAGATCTTATGGCTCCATTAATTTCGAGATCTGGCTGTTTCGGCTCCCAAGTGATTTTTCATTTAGTAGCAACTCTGCTGGTCACTGCCAAGTTACATTCTTATTTCTTGCAAAAATAAATTTGCAATATCAGTCATATTGCATTTACATTTACATTTAAAAGTGTAGTATGTCAAGAAAAACTATCCTAGTGGTTTAACAAAAATGACACCCTATTAATAAATGTATGGTTAAGATTTTTGTCTTTCCAATTTGAAAAGATTTGCTATCATGTAAAAGTAAAAGTAGTTATGTATGTCATGGTAACATTATTTCAATTAGGAGACAGTTAAACTTCCCCTCCAGAAAAGTTTTGAAGTATGTAAAAATACTCTGCTATGATTAATATCAAGTTTAACATGGTTTTCTGACATGAAAAGTTTTTTTAACTCTGAAAAGGGGCTGGAAGCACACCTACTCTTTCTCCCTCAGTGAGGAATTTTGGATCTATGAATGTCCCACCAACCACCAGCTTCTTAAGCTGACTTTAAGTCCCCGGATCTCTTTTCAAAGAACTAAAATGTTCCTTCAGCCCATTGTTCTGTGCGTTTCTACATTGGTCTTAAGACCTGCGAAGATTAGGCAAATTAACCAGTTGACGTTGGTTGTAGGCCCTCGCCTTACAAAGCGATGCACATGCATTTGTTACCATTATCAATGAGCAAAATTTATAAATGAACATCAAATTTGATTGGAATATAATGAAAAACTATAGGATATGCTTGACTATTAAAAACAGCTTTTGTTGTATGGGAGTACAATGAAGAGACAACAAATTCAATAACAAACTGGATAAAGTCATCAAGTTCTTAAAATAACTCCAGCAGAGAGAGGAATGGTGGAAAATAGAGGAGCAGTCATAGAAAAACACCCGACATGCTCAGAAATTTACTGGAAGGCAAGCCCCACCCCACCAAAGAAAGGTACTTTTGGAAAGTACTACCCTCCGAGCAGGGACTTTTTTTGGGGTAAAATAAAGACCATAGAACTAAATTTAGACCCGGGTCCCTTCTGTGGAAACGCAGCAAGTTCTTCCAAATGTTCCTAGTCCCGGGGTATAGTTCCTTTGGGCGAAATGCGGCTTTATTGACCAGTGAAAGAGCAGCACGCTTCAAGATGGTTAGTTAGATGAAGTATTGGAGAGATTCAGTCGTATGCTACATGTTTGAACCTTAGCCAGACACAGATGAGGAGTCTGTTGTGCACCAAAATCGGCGACTAGCAGATGTATCAGAATGGTAAATGTAGTTAGCATATTTTATTTGTTTATGTTGTTTGCTAGCTCGTCAGCTTGAAACTGGCAGTGGCTGACACAGCGTTAGTTGATTGTGATACAATAATATCTGCTACAATATTATAATGCATTTACATTCTCAAATTGTTATTATGTAGTAGATAGCAGAAGTAAGCTCCAGGATCTGGTTAACATCCAAAGACTACACACTCTACCATGTTTGCAAACTTCTTCGCTGGATCAAATTTGGTGGCATTTGCTAGACAGCGGATTGGTATTCAAATTTGTTACGTACCAAATCTAGCTTGCTTGGGAACATTTGAATTGTAGATTTTAGGGACGTGTACAGACCATAGACTGTATAAAAGGAGTGGACTAAGCCACTCATTGGTTTGTGGACTACTGTTTGAAGCCTTGAGTTTGGCTAATTAGCTGACGCCATCTTGGGTTTTTGGAACCAGAAGTGACCATATTTGGATGAGAGGGTGGGGCTGGGGAGTTATAATGCCTGACAGGTCGCTGTGGTAGTGACTTGCCAATCACAAGGTATCCATGTCCTAACACATACCCTGCTTTATTGTCCATTTCACTCTAAATGGGACTATAATGTACAAAATAATCATCATGCTGGATCGAAAAAGTCTTCAAACTAGTGATTAAGACAATAAACTCATTAGGAAAGTTTTTACTGAGGTAATAAATCAGACAATTAGACTTCTTTTTGTAACCAGTGGAGTCGACCTCTGCTGATCATTAGGAAGAATGTAGGTTTAAGGCACTTCTGCATTGGCATTATGGAGCTTTTGGTGATTCCCGCTTGGTACAAACATCTCCTCTTTCAGTGGAGAAATGTGAAAACACAGGGTGGCCAGTTAGCTCACCGCCAGGCAGTGGCCAGGGTCCAAATCCAGCCCGTGGTCCTTTGCTGCAGGTCATCAACTCTGTCTCTCTCAAACTGTGGTATCATAAATAATAAATGCCGTAAAGCTGCAAAAAATACTGTGAAAAAAACAAAATAATGTGAAAACATTTCTCTAGTGACAAACTTTGGAGGACATAAACAATAGAAAAAGACTTTTTTGAGTGAATGGGGTAATTTTTAGGTAGTGGTGCCATGATGAATATATCCTGATGGAGTCTAGACACTGGTGATTGGGGTGAAGGGATGAACAGATCTGGACAGATTTGATGCAGAGCGGGACTTAGACGAGATTGGCCCATCCTAATTAGACAAATGTCCTTGTTTCTTCTTCACAGACATTTGTGGGCAAACCTGGAGCTCCATCCCTTCTCATATAACAACAGTTACCCTATATAGCTTTTGTTGCATGTGCTACTGTGTTTCTCACAACCTAGATTTCTAATCACAGGGGTGGCTGTTTACTCCTTGGCTCCTGGGTGCTCCTTAGTCCGGTTCCCTGCATGGCAGCTCTGTCGCCACAAAATTATAAACACAACACTTTTGTTTTGCCCCCATTCATCATGAGTTGAACTCAAAGATCTAAGACTTTCTCTATGTACATAAAGGGCCTGTTTCTCTCAAATATTGTTCACAGATCTGTCAAAATCTGTGTTAGTGACATGCACATTTTCGAGTTGCTTTTTATTGTGACCAGCCTAAGGCACACCTGTGCAATAACCATGCTGTCTGATCAGCCTCTTGATATGCCACACCTGTGAGGTGGATGGATTATCATGGGAAAGGAGAAGTGCTCACTAACACAGATTTTGACAGATTTGTGAACAATGTTTAAGAGAAATAAGCCTTTTGTGTACATAGAAAAAGTCTTAGATCTTTGAGTTCAGCTCATAATGAATGGGGGCAAAACAAAAGTGTTGCTTTTATAATTTTGTTCAGTTTAATTACTCAAAGATACTGCAGTATCTACCAAAACTTTGACCATAACTCACTTTTTGGCCAGTCTTTATACTCAGGAAAAGTCATAGATTTATTTTAAAGACTGACTTTGTTATGTTTGATGTTTGGAAATTCAGGAGTTGAGAGGAGCTTTTTAAATCTGGGGCTAATATACAAAAACATCAATCCCAGACAGGTCATCATCAAGCACATGCTGTAAAATAATGTCAGACAAACCCAAATAGTCTGCATAATTTATTTAGAGAAAGTATCTTGTAGTTTAATCAGGTGTAAGGTTAACTTAAATCAGGAAAAGTCACAAAGGCAATAATAGCATTTTAAATGTAAGTGCCTTTTACTTAAAAATAGAATAATTTGTTTGATTTAAGTATTCTCACACAAAGGGTCTTAGTAGTAAGAGATTTAATATTCAAATACATATGTCTGACATCAGCCCTGTTTTCTAAAAAGCTTAATTTTGTTATTAGTATTAACCTACATTTCTGACTGTGTTTTTCTTTTGTATAGACAAAACAGATTCATTCTGTCTGATTCTGTGGTCTGAATAAATTTTTATGATTGGATGCCTCGACCCATTATAGCTTTCTTTGTATTTTTCTCTGGTCTCAGCAGGATTATGTAACATTTGGGTCCAAACAGTGATACCAAGAGACCAAAACTGGAGGCCAGGATAGCAAATACCTCCACTGCATCTGCATATTTGCCTGGTGAGCTGATGTATGCAGGGACAAAGGCCACCCACACAGCACAGAAGATCAGCATGCTGAAAGTGATGAGTTTGGCCTCATTGAAGCTATCTGGAAGATTCCTTGCTATAAATGCAGTCAGAAAACTGAGGGTAGCCAGTAAGCCGATATAACCCAATAACACTGCAAAACCAACTGTGGACCCGACTACACACTCATAAATTATCTTATCATGGTGGTATTGAGTGTTTTTATGAGGTGAAGGTGAGGAAGATACAAGCCAGGCAGTGCAGATTGCTGCCTGAATAGAAGTAAGAACAATAACTGTCCCTCTCTGCTGCATAGCACCAAACCACTTCAGACTGGCTCCACCTCCTGGCTTGGAGGCCTTGAACACAGCCAGAACCACCATAGTTTTCACCAGAATGCATGAGACACAAAGCACAAAGCTGATCCCAAATGCTGCGTGTCTCAGCTGGCATGTCCACAGCCTGGGACGTCCAATAAACAGCAGTGAGCAAAGGAAACATAGTTTAAGTGACACCAAGAGCAGGAAACTCAGTTCTGAATTGTTGGCGCGTACTATGGGTGTTCTGCGATGAGAGATAAAGATCCCTAGGACAACAGCACAGATAATTGTGCCCAGCAATGAGGCAGTTGTCAAGCAGATACCCAGGGGTTCATGGTAGGAGAGGAACTCTGTTTTCTTAGGAAAACACTGGTCACGCTGGGAGCTGGACCAGAAATCCTCAGGACAACTGATGCACTCAGTGGAGTCTGAGAAAAAGGAGAAAGTCTTGAGATAAATCTTTGTATAACATCTCCAAACTGCAATGTGTTGAAGTGAAAACCAACCAGTCATATTGCTGATCTTTCCCTCAGAACAAGGGATGCAGTCAAAACAGCACACAGGTTCCCCTTTCTTTCTGGCCATGCGGGTTCCTGGAGTACAGCTCTCGCTGCACACTGACCGGGGTGGCTATAAGGTGAAAACATTTTTTTTTTACACTGCTATAATGAGTTATACATAGGCCAAAATATATGTGTCTGAAAAATCAGAAGCAACCTTTTTTGATTCAAAGTTCCAGAAGATTTTGTCTTCATCAATTGTGAGTTCTTCACCTTTGAAGGCTGACATCTTAACTTCACCCACTTTCTGAAGTTTAGTTCTTCCATCAGGGAGCCACAGCCAGTTCATGATATCATAGATTGGTAAGGCATCACCATTCTCATCAAATGACACTTGATCACCAAATGGTGTTGTAAAGTTGACCTTTTCCAAGTAATACACAAGCTATGAATATCAGAATAAGGAGTAGAGGAAAACCCAAGAGGACAGATGAAAATTTATTCCTCTGATTACATTAACAATTTCAACAAAGCATTTCATCTGAAGTGAAGTCACATCTGTGACAATATAATGTGGTCTCTGACCTGATAATAATATACACTGCTATCAACCAGCAGAAGGGAAAATTAGTGATCAACAGTGATCTGCTCTGCCCTTTATGATTAGTAATGTCATAGCTTTGTATTTTATCCTATACCCGAAATGCTACTCTTCAAGAAATACTAAAGCATAGGATTTAGTTGTTTACACCAGTGTGAGTGTAAACTGATATTACACCTGCCATGGTTCCAGCCCTTGCAAATTTCCACAGCTGTGCCCACTGAAAGGCCCTCTCCCTGGTTCGCACTGCAGCATTTCATCAAGGGCATAAGCCAGAGCATACACAGCCTTGTACACATTATACTCTGGCCTGAGGTTTGAAATGTCCAAGAACTTTGTCTCCACTTTCTCTAGATCTTCCTGTTCAGTGCATAGTGCTCCCCCAGCTTCCACCCAACCTTCTGGAGGTGGTGTAAATCTGCACTGAAATGTGTATTCCCAAAACTGTGCCACCTGAAATGCATTAAAAAAAACAAATGATAACAGAAATAATCAGAATATATCATTGATGGAACTTTCATCAGATGGCAAGGTTAAATTCTTACCATGCTACTTCTATAGTCATTGCTGTGTTGGTCAGGACGTATTTGCAAGAGAAAATCCCTGAGACCTGCTATTTCTCCTCTACGGATGGCGATGCCTATTGTGCCAACCAGGTATGGCATGAGGTGGGGGGTCTGGAACACAGTACCTGCTATCCCAGCTTCACTGGCCATCCACTGCAGGCCTGTGACATTCTGTCTCACCACCTGTGCATTATACCAAATATATAGTCATACAATCATGCCACTAAAGTAGTGTCTTAGTAGTCTTCTGAATTATTCACAGTTTAGACAGTTCATGTCTTGTCCTACTCATTCATACACAGGTGCACTCCTGTGTTTACAAAGTGATTATATTATGATTATATTTTTCATAACTGGAGTGCACTGTTGCCTTGCGCCTGATGTCAGCTGGGATTGGCTCCAGCCCCACCCGCGACCCTGTACGTGGGATAAGCCTTTGACGATAGATGGATGGATGGAGTGCACTGTAATTTGTTTGTGGAAGGTGATGCTAATAGTCTGTATCCTATATTGTATTTGTTGGATAGTTGTAATTTTAATTAAGTTGTATTTGAAGACCAACCTCTTCCATGAGGCCAATAATGTAACTCTCATGTGCAAACACAATGACCACACGAGCTGTAGATTTCTTCATCACATCCACAATCCTCCTTAATTCAGCTGGGTCATTGGCCCAGGGCAAAACCTCTAAGTAGGCCAGACAACCTCCACCAGACTGAACAAAGTCAGACTGGAAGGATCGGGCAGCATAGAGTCCATAATCACCATCACTGACCAGCAGACCTGCCCAAGTCCAGCCAAAGTAGTTTAGAATCTGAATCATAGCACGCACCTAAGTGAATACAGAGGGTAGGGATTAGTGGACAGGCTGTCACAATAATCTGTCAGTTGAAAACCTGCTAAGCATGTTTCACATTGGACCATGTTTAATTATTGCCATTCAGCTTTGTTATATGAGACCGAACAACCCCATCAACAACACAAAGAACATGACTGATATTACACAAAAGGAATATATTTTTTCATAGCAATACAGGGACATTCTTTCTGAGGAAAGTTTAATTGCACATACTTTTTTAAATTTTTAAATTTTTAAAAATTTTTATTTGGTCCATAGTTACCTGGAAAGCGTCACTTGGGATGGTTCTAAAGAAGGATGGAAACTTTTGCCGGTCACTCAGGCAGGAACATGTGGCAAAATAACTCACCTGTGAAAGTCACAGACTGTATATACTAAAAACATTGGCTCTTTCAATTATTTAAGGTTGATATATCCATGTTTGCAATTGCCATTAAATGTGAAATTAAATCAAATTGATCCAAAAGAAATATTAGAAAGTAAAGCAAAAAAACTTACCATAGGTATTCTGTACATTCCTAAAATGGTGGAGATGGCAATAGAACTTGTAGAGGTAGAATCACCCACAATCCCTAGGACTGGGGGGGCTCCTACACAGGTCTCGTCTAATATAAACTGCTCCTCTTGACCACTGACTAAAGACAAGGCTGCACGGAATCCAATTCCTAGTTGGATGCAGTTATCATAAAGACTGTATCCCAGAGTTACATTAGGTAGCAGGTTGGAGTTTCTGTTGATCTCATCAATAGCAAAGGCCATGGTTTGAGCCTGCCTGAATCCTAGGACATCAAAACTAATAAAAAAAATACATGATACAGTAACTGTGCCAATATGTATATGTTGCACAGCTTCAGATTTTGCAAACAACAAAGCCACTTGCAACAGCAACAGTGATTATAGTCATTAAATATAACAGCAAAAAAGTAAAATGTTTAAAATGACATGTAATATCTGATTATCAAAACACATCTACAAATGGGAGTGATTTTCCACAGGTTCTGCTTTTTGCTGTTCCCCGGACAGACTCACCCGTGGCAGGTAGGCTGTTGTGGCTCTGAGGTGAAAGACAGGTCAGGAAAGATAGAAAAGAAGTTGATCCCAAACAGCCCACCTAGAACAACATCTCCAGCCTTGTGCATCCCATTTAGATGAAACTTTCCCTGTATCCGGCAGGAAGAGGAAGAAAGGAGGGAGGACACAGCAGAAGAAAAGTAGGAACACATCAACATGAAATACATCAGTGAGAGCAACTTGATATCTAAATATGCCCACATGACATTCCTCATGTTTCCCCCCTTTCTGAGCCCAGTCAAGTGATTACTATGTCTACTCCTTTTATTGACTAGCAAGTCAATAATGTTGTTTAATCTTGACACCACCCATCAGGGCACAAGCACAATAAGGGGCAGGGCCTAAAATATATTTAATTTGAGAATTATTTTTTATTGATGCAGAATTTATTTGAGCACTTTTAATAATATTTCACCAAGGCCATGTTAGCAACCTCTCCGGCCCAAAGTTCAGTGGATGATCATAATGATAGTGGTCTACTGAAATGTGTATAACAGTCATATTATGTGTTTATTAGTTTTTTGAATGTCATCTTAAAGGGGCTTTAATTTGTATGTTAAGTTGTAGATTAATTAGATAAATGTATCACTTTCCTGTAAAATCCAAGGAAGGTTAATATCAAGGGCAACTGGACTTGGTTTGTAGGAGCAGACATGAGGGAAGTCCAGTTGCCCTTGATTTTAACCTTCCTTGGATAACTATGACCTGGATGACTGGGAACCTTCATGAACATTTCTTATAAAACATCTACTTGCCCTGTGGAAAAAAAACAATATTTTTTCTGAATTGCTCGGCAGTTTCAATTTGACCAGATACCTATAGTAAATGTATCAGAAAAGCCACTTTGTACTGATAATCATAAAAGCACAAATCAGCCATGAGTACAGGTATGTGATATTCACTATCAAACATTAACAGATTTTAATAAACTGTCCACTAGATGGCAGCAGCATACTAAGACAATGTTGGGTCTTTCCTTTATTGTAGTGATAGGAATTGTGGCCCGTAGAAGGGAGCCAGATCTTATGGCTCTATTCCTTTCTGAGATGCGGCTCATTGGCTCCCAAGTGGCACTTCATTTAGTACCACCTCTGCAAGAAAAAATAAATAAATCTGATATACACTGCTCAAAAAAATAAAGGGAACACTTAAACAACACAATGTAACTCCAAGTCAATCACACTCCTGTGAAATCAAACTGTCCACTTAGGAAGCAACACTGATTGACAATCAATTTCACATGCTGTTGTGCAAATGGAATAGAAAACAGGTGGAAATTATAGGCAATTAGCAAGACACCCCCAATAAAGGAGTGGTTCTGCAGGTGGTGACCACAGACCACTTCTCAGTTCCTATGCTTCCTGGCTGATGTTTTGGTCACTTTTGAATGCTGGCAGTGCTTTCACTCTAGTGGTAGCATGAGACGGAGTCTACAACCCACACAAGTGGCTCAGGTAGTGCAGCTCGTCCAGGATGGCACATCAATGCGAGCTGTGGCAAGAAGGTTTGCTGTGTCTGTCAGCGTAGTGTAGAACATGGAGGCGCTACCAGGAGACAGACCAGTACATCAGGAGATGCGGAGGAGGCCGTAGGAGGGCAACAACCCAGCAGCAGGACCGCTACCTCCACCTATGTGCAAGGAGGAGCAGGAGGAGCACTGCCAGAGCCCTGCAAAATGACCTCCAGCAGGCCACAAATGTGCATGTGTCTGCTCAAATGGTCAGAAACAGACTCCATGAGGGTGGTATGAGGGCCCGACGTCCACAGGTGGGGGTTGTGCTTACAGCCCAACACTGTGCAGGACGTTTGGCATTTGCCAGAGAACACCAAGATTGGCAAATTCGCCACTGGCGCCCTGTGCTCTTCACAGATGAAAGCAGGTTCACACTGAGCACATGTGAACGTTCTGCTGCCTGCAACATCCTCCAGCATGACCGGTTTGTCGGTGGGTCAGTAATGGTGTGGGGTGGCATTTCTTTAGGGGGCCGCACAGCCCTCCATGTGCTCGCCAGAGGTAGCCTGACTGCCATTAGGTACCGAGATGAGATCCTCAGACCCCTTGTGAGACCATATGCTGGTGCGGTTGGCCCTGGGTTCCTCCTAATGCAAGACAATGCTAGACCTCATGTGGCTGGAGTGTGTCAGCAGTTCCTGCAAGAGGAAGGCATTGATGCTATGGACTGGCCCGCCCGTTCCCCAGACCTGAATCCAATTGAGCACATCTGGGACATCATGTCTCGCTCCATCCACCAACGCCACGGTGCACAACAGACTGTCCAGGAGTTGGCGGATGCTTTAGTCCAAGTCTGGGAGGAGATCCCTCAGGAGACCATCCGCCACCTCATGAGGAGCATGCCCAGGCGTTGTAGGGAGGTCATACAGGCACGTGGAGGCCACACACACTACTGAGCTTCATTTTGACTTGTTTTAAGGACATTACATCAAAGTTGGATTGGCCTGTAGTGTGGTTTTCCACTTTGATTTTGAGTGTGACTCCAAATCCAGACCTCCATGGGTTGATAAATTTGATTTCCATTGATAATTTTTGTGTGATTTTGTTGTCAGCACATTCAGCTATGTAAAGAAAGGAGTATTTAATGAGATTATTTCATTCATTCAGATCTAGGATGTGTTATTTTAGTGTTCCCTTTATTTTTTTGAACAGTTTACATTTAAATAGTTTGAAGTATGTAAAAGTACTCTGCTATGATTAATAGTTTAACATGGTTTTCTAACAACAAAAAATATCTGAAAAGGGGCAAGAAGTACACCTACTCTTTCTGCCTCAGTGAGAAATTCTGGATCTATGAATGTCCCACCCACCAGCAGCTTCATATTGACCAGTGAAAGAACAGTGCACATCAAGATGGTTAGTTAGAAAATATTGGATAGTCAACCTCTGCTGATCATTAGAAAGAATACAGGTTTAAGGCACTTCTGCATTGGCTTCACTTTTCAGAGGTTACAAATATCACCTTCTTCAGTTGAGGAATATGAAAACACCTCTCTTTTGACTTTGCACAGATATAAGCAGGGGCAGACTGGGACAAAAATTCAGCCCTGGCATTGTAGCCACGCCAGCCCACCTTACCACGCATCCCCATGAACACACTTTCACTATTTAGGCTACATTTGTTTACAGATGGTGAAATAATATAAGCAGTAGGCCTACTGTACAGCAAGTGCGTCACTTTGTGTTGAAAAGAGCTGGTGACATAAGGTCTGAGAATAGGGGGTGTGATGAAAGACTTTGGTCATGAGAACAAGACGACTGGGGTCCTCCCCCAGAAGATTTTGAGCATTAAACACTTAATTTATTTAATTTATGAATGGCAGCACACAATTCAATTACAGAGGTGTGCAGACTCTGACATTGATAGCAATTATAAGTCACTTTGGATAAAAGCATCAGCTACAAGTTCTTTACTGGGAAAAGCGTACTTTTTGAGTGGAGAGTATCTTAACGGATAATTTTTAACGGGTGGTGATGCCATGAGGTGACTGGAATTTCTCCTGATGGAGTCTGGTGTTGGGAGGTAAAGGGACGAGGAGAATGGATAAAGATCTGGATGCATTTGATGCAGAGCTGAACTTAAATGAGCTCAGCCCATCTCAATTAGCCTAATTTCCTTGTATTCCTCTACTGACGTTTGTGGGCAAACCTTCTCATATAACAACAGATACCTATATAACTTTTGTTGCATGTGCTATTGTGTTTCTCACAACCTAGGTTTGAAATCACAGGAGTGGAAGTTCACTTCTTGACTCTTGGGTTCTCCCTAGTCCGGTGCCCTGCATGGCAGCTCTCCCCACTGGTGTGTGTGAATGAGAGGCCAATAATAATAATAATAATAATAGTAATAAGAAGAAGAATCTTTATTTGTAGAGCACTTTTCAAAAACAAGTTACAAAGTGCTTTAACAACTGTAAAAACAATAAAACACATAAAAACAAATACATGATAAAAGCAAGAAAACACTTAAGATTCTAAAATACATGTTTAAAAGAAATATAAAAATATATAGAATACAATAAAATAAATAGAATAAAATAAAGTCAAATAAAATCGGTAAAGGCTCTCCTATAAAATTATGTTTTAAGAAGGGACTTAAAAGAGTTCACTGACTCAGCTGACCTGATTTCCACGGGCAGGCTGTTCCAGAGCCTCAGGACCCTGACTGCAAACGATTTGTCTCATTTAGTTTTCAGTTGAGACTCTGGAACAGACAACAGACCTCTGCCCGAGGATCTCAAGTTACATGCTGGTGTGTATGGGACTAAAAGGTCAGAAATATAACAAGACGAGAGGCCATGAAGAGCTTTAAAAGTGATCAATAAAATTTTAAAGTTAATTCTAAAACATACTGAGAGCCAGTGTAATGAAGCTAAAACAGGGGTGATGTGGTTATATTTCTTTGTTCTAGTTAAAGGCCAGGCAGCTGAGCTGGACAGTCTGGAGTCGATCAATAGATTTTTGGGTTAAGCAAGAAAAAAGGCTGTTGCAGTAATTCAGGCGTGATGAAATAAAGGAGTGTAAAATGGTCTCAGTGTCCTTAAAAGTTAACATAGATCGTATTTTTTGATCTATTGAATTGTAAAGTGTGTTGTCCATTAAGGTAGAAAACGGCTATGTAAGGATCAATTCAACATTTACCATGATCAATAATTATTACTCAAACATATTGTAATATATGCCAATACTTTGAGCACAACTTACTTTCTGGCTTACTGACTTTGTGACATTTGATGTTTGGAAATTGGAGTTTGGAATACACAAAAACTGGTGACAGTCCACATCAGCCCCAGACAGCTCAACATTAAGCACAAACTGTACAATAATGTCAGATGAACCCAAAAAGTCTGCATAATTTATTTAAAGAAAGTACCTTGTAGTTTAATCAGGTGTAAGATTAACTTATAACAGGAAAAGTCAAAAATACAAAAGTTTTTTTTCCTAAAAAATAAACTTGTTTAATTTAAGTATTCTCAAACAAATGGTCCTAGTGGTAAGACAATTAATATTCATATAGTATTTGCCATCAGCCCTGCTTTCTTTTAACACATCTCTTACTGTGTTTTTGTATTGTATAGACAAAACAGATTCATTCTGTCTGAAAAAATTACGGGCAGTTTTTATGACTCGATGCCTCGACCAATGATTGCTTTCTTTGTGTTCCTCTCTGGTCTCATCAGGATTATGTAACATTTGGGTCCAAACAGTGATACCAAGAGACCAAAACTGGAGGCCAGGATGGCAAATACCTCCACTGCATCTGCATATTTGCCTGGTGAGCTGATGTATGCAGGAACAAAGGCCACCCACACAGCACAGAAGATCAGCATGCTGAAAGTGATGAGTTTGGCCTCATTGAAACTATCTGGAAGATTCCTTGCTATAAATGCAATCAGAAAACTGAGGGTAGCCAGTAAGCCAATATAACCCAATAACACTGCAAAACCAACTGTGGACCCGACAACGCACTCATAAATGATCTTATCATGGTGGTATTGAGTGTTTTTATGAGGTGAAGGTGAGGAAGAGACAAGCCAGGCAGTGCAGATTGCTGCCTGAATAGAAGTAAGAACAATAACTGTCCCTCTCTGCTGCACAGCACCAAACCACTTCAGACTGGCTCCACCTCCTGGCTTGGAGGCCTTGAACACAGCCAGAACCACCATGGTTTTCACCAGAATGCAGGAGACAGAAAGCACAAAGCTGATCCCAAATGCTGCATGTCTCAGCTGGCATGTCCACAGCCTGGGACGTCCAATAAACAGCAGTGAGCAAAGGAAACATAGTTTAAGTGACACCAAGAGCATGAAACTCAGTTCTGAATTGTTGGCACGTACTATAGGTGTTCTGCGATGAGAGATAAAGATCCCTAGGATTACAACACAGATAAATGTGCCCAGCAATGAGGCAGTTGTCAAGCAGATACCCAGAGGTTCATGGTAGGAGAGGAACTCTGTTTTCTTAGGAACACACTGGTCACGTTGGGGGCTGGACCAGAAGCCCTCTGGACAACTGATGCACTCAGTGGAGTCTAAGAAAAAAGAGAATGTGAGAATGTCTTGAGATACATCTTTATATTATATCTCACAAAATGCAATGTTTAAAAGTGAATACCAACCAGTCTTATTGCTGATCTTTCCCTCAGAACAAGGGATGCAGTCAAAACAGCACACAGGTTCCCCTTTCTTTCTGGCCATGCGAGTACCTGGAGGACAGCTCTCGCTGCACACTGACCGCGGTGGCTACAGGGAGAAAAATAAATAGCTGTATACTACTGTACACTGCTGTAATGAGCTATACATGGGCAAAAAAATACATGTCAGAAGCAACCTTTTTTGATTCAAAGTTCCAGAAGATTTTGTCTTCATCAATTGTGAGTTCTTCACCTTTGAAGGCTGACCTCTTAACTTCACCCACTTTCTGAAGTTTAGTTCTTCCATCAGGGAGCCACAGCCAGTTCATGATATCATAGATTGGTAAGGCATCACCATTCTCATCAAACGACACTTGATCACCAAATGGTGTGGTGAAGTTGACCTTTTCCAAGTAATACACAAGCTACAAATATAAGAATAAGGAAAACCCAAGAGGACAGATAAAAATTGATTCTTCTAAATACATTAACAATTTCAACAAAGCATTTCATCTAAAATGAATTCACATCTGTGTCAAGATAATGTGGTCTATGACTTGACGATAATAACTTACACTGCCAACCAGCAGGAGGGAAAATCCTAACAGTTTTGTGCTCTTCCCTTTAAGATTAGTAATCTCATAGCGTTGCATTTAATCCTATACCCTAAATGCTATTCTTCAAGAAATACTAAAGCAGAGGATTGGGTGTTTACACCAGTGTGAGTGTAAAATGATATCAAACCTGCCATGGTTCCGGCCTTTGTAAATTACCACAGCTGTGCCCAATGAAAGGCCCTCTCCCTGGTTTGCACTGCAGCATTTCATCAAGGGCATATGCCAGAGCATACACAGCCTTGTACACATTGTACTCTGGCCTGAGGTTTGAAATGTCCAAGAACTTTGTCTCCACATTCTCTAGATCTTCCTGTCCAGTGCATAGTGCTCCTCCAGCTTCCACCCAACCTTCTGGAGGTGGTGTAAATCTGCACTGAAATGTGTATTCCCAAAACTGTTTCACCTGAAATGCATTAAAAAAACAGAAATCAGAAATAAAATAAGAACTAATCAGAATATAAAATATTTTATCAGATTGCAAGGTTAAACTCTCACTATGCCATTTCCATAGTCATTGTTGTGTTGGTCAGGACGTATTCGTAGGAGAAAATCCTGGAGCCCTGCTATTTCTCCTCTATGGATTGCGATACCCAGTGTGCCACCCAGGTAAGGCATGAGGTCGGGGGTCTGGAACACAGTACCTGCTATCACAGCTTCACTGGTGATCCACTGCAGGCCTGTCACATTCTGCCACACCACCTGTGCATTATACCAAATATATATAGTCATACAGCCATGCCACTAAAGTAGTGTCTTTAATATTCTTCAGAATTATACACAGTTTACACAGTTCATGTCTTGTCTTACTCATTCATAAATAGGTGTAGTTCTGTATTTACACAGTTTACCAAGTGATTATATAATGATTATATTTTTCATAACTGGAGTTTGTTGTGATTTGAGTAGATGATATTAATCAAAATTAGTGTTTACAGCACCTTTAACAAATAAGTTTAATTATTTTTGTTTTACAGATAAATATGCTATTGAAAATATTTCAACTAGACAAAAAAACATTGTTTGTATATGTTGGATAGTTGTATAATTAAATGAAATTGTATTTCAAGACCAACCTCTTCGATGAGGTTAATCATGTGACTCTCATGTGCAAATACAATGACCACTCGAGCTGTAGATTTCTTCATCACATCCACAATCCTCCTTAATTCAGCTGGGTCATTGCCCCAGGGCAAAACCTCTAAGTAGGCCAGACAACCTCCACCAGACTGAACAAAGTCAGATTGGAAGGATCGGGCAGCATAGAGTCCATAATCATCATCAATGACCAGCAGACCTGCCCAGGTCCAGCCAAAGTGGTTTAGAATTTGAATCATAGCACGCACCTAAGTGAATACAGAGGGTAGGGATTAGTGGACAGGCTGTCACAATAATCTGTCAGTTGAAAACCTGCTAAACATGTTTCACATTGGACCATGTTTAATTATTGCCATTCAGCTTTGTTATCTGAGACCGAACAACACCATCAACAACACAAAGAACAAGACTGGTGTTACAGAAAAGGATTTTTTTTTTTTCTAGTGAAGTACAGATATGTTCTTTCTGGGGAATGTTTAATTGCACATGCTTTCTTTGATTCATTTTCTTCTTGGTTACCTGGAAAGCGTCACTTGGGATGGTTCTAAAGAAGGATGGAAACTTTTGCCGGTCACTCAGGCAGGAACATGTGGCAAAATAACTCACCTGTGAAAGTCACAGACTGTATATACTAAAAACATTGGCTCTTTCAGTTTTTTAAAGTTAATAACTCCATGTCTGCAATTGTGACATTAAATCAAAATGATCCAACATCATTATTGGAAAGTAAGTGAAAAACTTACCATTGGTACTCTGTACAAACCTAAGACACTGGAGATGGCAATAGAACTTGTAGAGGTAGAATCACCCACAATCCCTAGGACTGGGGGGGTTCCTACACAGGTCTTGTCTAATATAAACTGCTTCTCTTGACCACTGACTAAGGACAAGGCTGCAGGGAATCCAATTCTTAGTTTGATGCAGTTATCATAAAGACTGTATCCCAGAGTCAGATTAGGTAAAAGCTCGGAGTTTCTGTTGATCTCATCAATAGCAAAGGCCATGGTCTGAGCCTGCCTGAATCCTAGAAAATCAAAACTAATAAAAACATACAGCATGATACAGTAACTGTGCCAATATATACATGTTGCACAGCTGTATGTTTAGCAAACAATCAAGCTAGTTTACAACAACAACAATTATTTTCAATATTAAATATAACAGCAAAAAAGTAAAATTATATTATCAAAACACATCTACGAATGGGAGTGACTGTCTGGATTTTCTGCTTTTTGCTGTTTCCCTGACAGACTCACCCGTGGCAGGTAGGCTGTTGTGGCTCTGAGGTGAAAGACAGGTCAGGAAAGACAGAAAATAAGTGGATCTCAAACAGCCCACCTAGAACAACATCTCCAGCCTTGTGCATCCCATTTAGATGAAACTGGCCCTGTATCCGGCAGGAAGAGGAAGAAAGGAGGGAGGACACAGCAGAAGAAAAGTAGGAACACAACAACATGAAATACATCAGTGAGAACAAGTTGAAATCTAAAAATGCCCACATGACTTTCCCCATGTTTCCCCCCTTAGTGAGCCCAGTCATTAAGTGATATTACTATGTCTACTCCTTTTATTGACTTGCTGTGTTGTTTAATCTTGACACCACCCATCAGGGCACAAGCACAATAAGGGGCAGGGCCTAAAATGCATTTCATTTTATTTTGTATTGAGGCAGATTTATTTGTGCACTTTAAATAATATTTCACCTGCTTGACAACCTCTCTAACCCAAAGTTCAGTGGATGATCATAATGATAGTGGTCTACTGAAATTTGTATAGCAGTCATATTATGTGTTTATTAGTTTTTTAAATGTCATCTTAAAGGGGCCATATGTAAATTTTCAATGAAATCACTTCTAAATAAATCAAATTTTTTCTCTGTTGCTTGGAACAGCTACAATTCTGCTTTTAATGTGAAGGTATCGGGTTGGGATATGGCAACATGCGCACTCCCCAGCCTCTCTCCGACTCCAGCGACAACACCACAGCAAGGACATGTAGTCCACTAACAGCATAAAACAGCTGTCTCCCAGCACAACACAGACTCCAACACAAGCTCCATAAAGGATAAAAAACACCAATAAAGTTTTATGTGCTGTCGCCTATCAAGCTAAACTAAATCAGATAATGTCGGGTGAAAACAGTCAACATCAGAAAGGCTGACTGTTAGCTCACCGGCTAACTCCGAGGAGTTGCTTGTGTGACACACAGGAATGTGTGGTCACATTATGTGATTTTATTTTGAAAAGTCTGTAATTTCCAGGTGTTTATTGTTGTAGCAGAGCCTAATTTAGTTAATTTGATGTGCATTCATGTTAGGAGCGAAATACCGATTTTTGCCACAAGGGGGCATCACCTCCCTTGCGAGACAGCTTGGTGTGGCTTGCAGCCGACCCTCGTCTTCAGTACGACAGAAGCGAGGAAGAGAAGCACACTACCTGTTGCCTGTCTCATAATTTTCCTGTTATCTACAGGTTAGTAAGTGCCAAAAAATCCATGGGGTTTAAGAATGTTTAAGTGTAATGTATATTTTATTGCCTTGTTGTGCTCCGTTTATCTGAGCCTCTCCTTTGTTGTTTTGAAGTGTCGTGAATGGAACGTAGTCGGGGATGCTAACACTACTTGGCATGTTAAGCTAGCTTGGCTCACCTTGTGTATAACGTGTGTATTGAACTTGATTTTCTCGAGTGCTAATGTAAATGCTCCGTGATTGTATTCAGTTGATTAGGCTCTTGCAAAAAGCAACGGAAATAATGTTTGGTGTTTATAATGCATATTTACTGTTTCATTAAATCTAGTAGTAAAATGCTAACTTGCTTCTCATGTCGTTCACCTGTGGGTTTAGGCCAGGGGTATTCAATTAGATTTCAAAGAGGTCTAGTTAGAGAAAATTTCCTGAAGCAAAGGTCCGGAACATCAAAACGACGAACGTTATCATTCAGTACTATAACCTATAGTTGTATCAACACATGTTTTTAGTCAACAATGGACTGTCAAATCAAATAATATTTGATTCACCAAACTGGAAGGATAATAAATAATAACTATTCAAATAATAAATTCTAATAAATGGGCTGTAGGTCGGCGGTCCGTAGAGGACGGCGGCTAGGTCCGGATCCAGACCGCGGTCCGTCTATTAGTGACCTATGCTCTAGAGCATAGCAAGGAGAGCAGTGTGGGCCGTAGGTCGGATCATTAGCTTAGCATCGGTGAATGTGCAGTTTTGTGGAGACTGAAGAGTGTTACACACCGAGCCGAAGATAGAGGGGGTTCGGTGGGGAGGAGAATGCTCTTTAGGAATGTACTGTATTTAATGAGTTGAACATTCACAGCATTTTCAGTGTGTACACAGCAGCACATGAAACACAAATAAATGCATGCTGGACTCATAACGGAGGGAGGAAGTCTGGTGGTGTGCATCAGCCCTCTGTCACCCTTCTTTTTATTTTATTTTATTATTATTATTATTATCATTTTTAATGAAATAATAAAGCTTAGACTTTTACCAAGGGCTGCAATCGAAAAAGGCCGTGGTGTCCTTGAACATACCATGGGCCGTTTTTGAAAGGTTGAACCATCAGGCTAGCAAAGTGGACGCCCGGGCCTCACCCATCCTCTCACTCGGTTCTGACCGGGGCGAACCGTAGCCGAGCGTCGGTGAGCTAGCAACTCATACAGTAGACTGCTGCATTAACCTGTTTCCACAGTAAGAACAGCTCGTTTCTCGGCTGTCACGTCGTGGAAGCGGACCATTATGGCTGCGCTGACTCGGCGGTCAGGCTAGCTAAGTGGACCCCCAGGCCTCATCCACTGTCTCACTCGGTTCTGACCGGGAGAGCGGCGTGGGCCGCGGGGCGAACCGTTAGCTTAGCGTCGGTGAGCGCAGCGGCGCGTTCAACACGGCTAGCTCAATGACATGGGGTTGGTGGTGGGGAATTTGCACTTCTAAGAATGTAATGTGTTTCTAATAAACAGTTTAACATTCACAGGCATCACCACAGTGTACACACAAGCAGCACATGTCAGAACAGTGGCTTCATGAACACAAGGCCGCAGGGCGAACCCTTAGCATCAGCCCAGGAGTTAACGTTAGCTCTTTGATGAGAGAAGATAACTTAGCTCTTTGAGGAATGTAATTAACATGTTTTACTCAAAAAACGGTTTCCACATTCTCAAAAGCCTTACCATAGTTTTACACAAGCAGCACATGTAAAACAATGGTGTCTTGAAAACCAGACGGGGGATTGTGGCAGCGTTAGCAGGTCTCTCTCCCTCCATAACGGTCACTTGGCCAGTCGCTCCCTTCCCCCGCCACGGGTCAGCTGACAGGGGGGCCTGGACTCGTCCGGGCAGGACATGGGTCACCTTGCCCGGGTGCAAAGATAATTTTCTAGAAGTGGTGACTCCATCCGTGGAGGTGGTGAATTCAGTGAGCAGTTTGCTGTTTGCTGAAGAAAATGCTGAGGCAATAGGGGCACTGCTATTTATACGTCACGCATGTATCGGTAGCGACGTCCTATTGGTCGGCTATGTGCACGATCAAATTTCAGTGGGCAAGTGCGTGCGTGTGATTGGAGAAGGTAGTACCCATAGAGTCCAGTAGAGGGCGGAGCCTGTGTGAGATAGAACTACATATTGCCCCTTTAATGGGACTTGATTTGTATGTGAAGTTATAGATGAAGTAGGTATACTTTTCACTTTCCTGTAAAATCCTAGGAAGGTTAAAATCAAGGGCATTTGGTTGAAGGAGCAAACACGAGGAAAGTCCAGTTAGGGCAAACACGAGGAAAGTCCACTTGCCCTGGATTTTAACCTTCCTTGGATAACTATGACCTGGATGACTGGGAACCTTCACAAATGTTTCCTGTAAAACATTTACTTGCCTTGTGGGAATTGTTTTTGTTTGTTTTTTCAGAATCGCTCTGCAGTTTCAACCTGATCAGATACCTACAGTATATGTATGAGAAGAGCAACTTTGTACTGATAAACCTAAATGCAAAAGTCAGCCATGAGTATGTGGTATTCACTATCAAACATCAACACAACAGTGTTTAATAAAATGTCCACTAGATAGCAGCAGCATACTAAGACAACGGTTCATCTTCCCATGTATTTTTCAGTTGCACTGTATTTCCTTGATGGTAGTGATAGGAATTGTGGCCCATAGAAGGGAGCCAGATCTTATGCCTCCATTCCCTTTTTGAGATGCGGCTCTTTGGCTCCAAAGTGGCACTTCATTTAGTATCACCTCTGCTGGTCACTGCCTAAGTTACATTCTTATTTCCTTCAAGAAATAAATCTGATATACATTTAAATAGTTTGTCAAATTGATGGTTGTTTTTTAACAAAAAGGACACCCTATTAATGATGGTATGGTTAACCCCTTGACGCCGATTATCGCGAATTCGCGTCATACCTCTTCCTTGCAGACTGCAAGCCAAGATAGCACATGGATTCCCCCAATGCCTGTTGATGCATATTCGATACGTACCTAGGAACCTTTTGCAAGCCCTGGTTTCTCGTTTATGCCTGTTGTCGCAAATTTGCATCATACCTACACATACCTGAATTTATATCTTTTCGATGTTCTATACACAAATTAACAATCTTCACTTAATTTAACATCAGCTTGAAACCAAATAAAAACACAAATAATTTTTTTATTTTTTGATTGTAAATAAATTCAGGCGTTAAGGGGTTAAAATCTTTTTCTGTCCAATTTGAAAAGATTAGAACCACGTAAAAGAAGTTAAGTATGTCATGTAAACTGCACTTCAATTAGAAGACACTTTTTTTTCTAGTTTTTGAAGTTTAACTTGGTTTTCTGACACCAAAAAAGGGCTAGAAGCACGCATACTCTTTCTCCCAGAAATGATGGATCTGTGAATGTCCCACCCACCACCAGCTTTTTATTGACCATCACGATGGTTAGTTAGAGAAAATATTGGACAGATTCAATCATAAGATACATGTTTGGGCCTTAGCCAGACACAGACTCAGACGAGGAGTCTGTTGTGCACCAAAATCGGCGACTAGTATTCGTCTCAGAATGGTAAGTGTAGTTAGCATATTTTATATGTTTATGCTTTCAAATTGGTTACATACCAAATCTATATTGCTTGGGTACATTTGAATGGTAGATTTTAGGGACGTGTACAGACCATAGACTGTAAAAGAAGTGGACTAAGCCTTGAGTTTGACCTATTGGCTCACACCATCTAGGGTATTTTTGGAACCAGAAGTGACCATATTTGGATGACAGGGTGGAGCTGAGGAGGAATCCGCATGACAGTTCACTGTGGTAGTGACTTGTCAATCAAAAGGTATCCTCGCCCTAAAGAATACCCTGCTTTATTGTCTATATCACTTTAAATGGGACCATAATTTACAAAATGAACTTCATGCTGTATCGAAGAAGTCTTGAAACTAGCGATTGAAACCGTTAACTCATTAGGAAAGGTTTACTGAGGTAATAAATCAAATGAGGAGTAGGGTCATTGTCTCGTAGCTTTCTGTACAATCAGGCTTCTTTTTGCAACAAGTAAAGTCAAGCTCTGCTGATCATTAGAAAGAATACGTCCGAGGTTCCCTCTTGGTACAAATATCTCCTTCTTCAGTAGAGGAATGTGAAAACACCTCTTAATACACACACTTTGCACGGATACAAGTCAATAAAGTCAAGGTCTCACATTTTATGGAACATAAAGAGAAGAAAAGCACACTTTTTGAGTAGAGGGGATCTTTATGGGACACTTTTTAAGGGGTATGGATGCCATGAGTAGACAGGAATAGC